TATTACATTACTTCTGTTGGCTGCTGGAATGGTAGGTATCATCCAAATACCTGGACCTGGGACAGTGGACACTTATCACTTCCTTTTGGATGGTAATCTGTAGAAACTCAGAGGGTCCTACTATGTGGGGTTGGCTGTGGTCACAGAGCCGTGTCCAAAAGTGTTGTCCTGGCACTTAGAAAGGACCCTCACCCAGTGCTCCCCCCAGCCAGAGCTGATTGCAGATTAGTCCCAATACTGAACACAGGGAAACACAGTACCAGAGGTGATGTTACATGTTGTGAAGAGTATAGGTGAGTGGTCCTGGGGAAGCTGAGGCTTAGGTGGATTCAGAGGCTGTTGAATTGCTTCCTCTTTTTGCAGGTACTGGATCATTGAGTTTTGACCATTTTGATGACCCATGAACTCAGAGAGCCAAGTTATCTCAGAGTAGCTAGACCTTCTTGAGGCACCCAGGCCCCATTGTTAATATTTATAATCTCCTGGGCTTTTTGGGTGCACATCCCCTCTTAGTTCTGGTGACCAGGCTCCAAAGGATTGGCCATTTCACAGCAATTGTAAAGGGCCCCAAAGAGGACCCATTGTCTTTGCTTGCCATTTATAGTCTCACTTCTTTGAAAATTGAATGCTCTTCTACCCTCAGTATTCCCCTCTCCCCCCCACCCCACTAAGGTGTGATATATCTAAAGGGTTTTCAGCCCGTTGGCAGCTTGGTGTAATGGAAGGAATTCCACAGTGGCCCTACCACTGAAAAGTTGTATACCTCAAGTTCTCCCTGAGCCTTTTTATTTTACTCATCTGTTCATTCAGCAAGTATGTTTTGAGCACCATGGTGTGCCATGCAGTGTTCTAGGCCCTAGAAATGCAATGGTGAATGAGTTGGGCAAAGTTTCTGCTTTCATTCCTTCAGAGTTTGGTCCTTGCTGGAATCCTAAGGGGTGTGGGACAAGAATATGGGGGAGATGCAGGGCGCCTGGGTAGCTCAGTCAGTTGAGTGTCTGACTCTTGGTTTCAGCTCAGGACATGATCTCATGGATTGTGAGATCGAGCCCCGCGTTGGGCTCCATGCTGGCCATGGAGCCTGCTTAAGATTCTCTCTCTCTCTCCCTGCCCCTCCTCCCACTCATATGCGTTCTCTCTCTCTCAAAAATAAATAAATCTTAAAAAAAAAATGTGGGGGAGATGTGTTGTTGGGTAGGAGGAGGGAGGGAGTAAAGAAAGATACCCGATGTTCATAGACTTCACATTTCTGGCCTCACCCACTAGCCTTTAGACTGAGAATCACAAGCTAGAAGTTTCTTGCCCTCCAGCTGGGATTCAGTTGCTTCAAAGGCCTAGTTGCCTTCACCCCCATACACACACACACCCATCCCACCCTTCACAGGACCCTTGTCCAGAACTCCAACTTTCTTCAGGTAGAAGGAGGTGCTGTTTACTCACTCAGCACTCACATGTCTGAAGGATCAGCTGCCTTTCTGAATCAGAGGATAACTTTGTCATTTGTTTCCAACTGAAAACCCTGACTCATCACCTGGTACAGCAGCAGGAAGGCTTAAACACCGGCCTGTTGTTCTGCATAGCCAGGTGCAGGATCGAATTCAGGCTGTGGAGACTGAGGCTGTCACGGATGGCGGGGAAGTCTCCAAGAAGAGAAGGTTGCTGTTTACTGATGAATGGAGTGTTTCAAAAGCGGTGAAGCCAGGTCATCCATTCTTCTTTTAATGTAAGTCTCATCTGGGCCTTTCTCCTCTCTTCATTCTTCCTTAGTCTCTGGAGGAAGTATATAGAAGGGCGTATAATAAAGAAAATCAACCAAAATATTTCCTTCCTGTGTGTAGGAACATTTAAGAAAGGACAGTTCTGAAACCTAGCTACCATGGAAAGAATCTGTGCTCCAGGGGGACTTTGGGAGTATCTACAGGGCTAGCCTGGGAACAGGACAGTTCTTGAAAGCAAGCTCCACTGATCTGGGCCAGGGGCTCCATTGGCCTTTCTGGGAGGGTCGGGGTCCCAGTGCCTATTTCCATTTATAAAACCAGCTGTTGGAGATGGGGCACCTGAGTGTGTGGGGCCTGCCCCTTTGTTATGCTACAGATCTGATGGGCAAGATTGTTTCTTGTTGGTTTTAGGCCTTCTTTGATAAAATGAAGCTTCTGAGCTTCTGCCCCTAAACAGTCTCTGAGTAATAAGTTTGCCTGCAGCTCTTTGAACCAAGGACCTGAGACAGTTTGATGTGGTGAAAGGCACAGGACTTGGAATGAGGAAACCAGAGCATTCTGTCCCTTACCTGAGGTCTGTTTCTACTGAGCCTCAGTTTTCTCCTCTATGAAATGGGAGATAATCATCCTCCTTTCACAGGATTATTTTAAGAATTAAATGAGATTAGAGAATGAGATCCTGTGCCAGGGTGAATCAATACTGAGGGACAGAAGTAGACTTAGGATGGGTTGGAGTTTCCTAAAGGCAGACGCCACTCACCTTTTCTGCTCCACTGCGCTTGTGATGTTTGAAGCTCTCTATTTGCTCTCCTCAGCCTGGGTCTCCCGAAGAGACACCCCTCTTTGGTTTGGTTCTTGGTGTCAGTGAAGACTGTTCTGAGGATAGGAAGTGAAGCCAGTCCCATAGGATGGTAGATTGGGGGTCTGGGCCCCCCAGGAGCCCTGCCGACCTAGCAGTCAGGAGACCCAGACCCCAGAGATCTCATAGACTCTTACGTTCCTGCCTCTGAGCCAGTTTCTTGCCTCCCTGAGGTGTTAGGGAACAGACAGGCCTCGGTAGGGTGCTCTGGCTTCTTGCAAAGAAAGATGTTCCCTTAACTTTGGCCTGACCCCAAAGTCTCGTCCTATTTTGTGAATTGTCAAGTGGCTCTTCTGGATTTCTCTGCACTGTTGTCATTTTGTGGCTTTTCTGACGCTTCATTTTATTTTAGGCCACAGTTGTCTCCTATCTGGCCCTGCTCTGATCTCTCAGTGTCCGTTGACTTTGTTTTTTTAGCAGACCCTGACTTGGCCAGAGCACCCACTCACTGATAAGCCTCCCTCCCTCCGGTGAATACTCTATTATTTTCGGTTAATTAATTAATGAGGCCTTAATGGACCTACTATTCAAATTGTTGAGGTCCAAGTCATAAGGCTGCCTGAGGGAAGGGCAGTTTTGGAGCTCGAGGTCTGTCGGGAAGGACAGGCCTGAAGGGAGGCCTTAGGCCTCTGGAACTGCTGAAAGGGATTGGATGCCAGGGTCTTGGAGCCAGAGAACCTGGACTTGACCTGCAGGGCTGTATAGGGTAACCTTGAAGGAACCTCGCTTTCAGGATCAGGCACAATTTCAGGAGGGACTCTGACTGCAGCCTTTTCCAGTCGCCCTGGTGGCCAGAGCATGGAGCTGGTCTGCAGAGGAGGGTCCTGAGAGCTCCAGGCGGGTAGGAGCCAGGAACATGGTGAGGGAGAGGCAGTCAGACAGGGGCTGTGGCCAGGGGCCGGCGCTCTTCCTGCCAGTCTGTCATGGGCTGACCAGAGCTGGTGCTGCAGGGGCCATTCCCCACACACACCTACCTCCCTCTGCATGCCCTTCCTTAGGAAGGTTGGCTCTGGGTCCTGTTTACCCTTGGCCAGCTCCAGAGGCCAGGGCTTGAATCAGAGCATCTAACGTCATTTAGGGCCACCCTGCTGTTCTCCATGCTCCGCTGTTCTCTGTAAATCTTTCCCACCAGACTGACCTTGATGTTCCCTTGCACCCCTTCACCTGGGTCCCCAGCTGAAGAGCCCTCCTCCTAGACCCCCCTACTCCCTCCCTACCCACCCCTTAGCCCTAGCTCACATTCGCCTCTTCCAAAAGGGTTGACATCGTCCTAGAGGGAGGTAGTGGAGTCCGCCACTTATCAGCCCTGGAATCTTGGGAAGTTCCTTGACCTGGGTCAGCTTCTATTTCTTATCTGTTAAATCAGGATAATAAAACAGCCCTCCTAGGGTGACTGGGAGGAATGCAAGAAGCAATATGTGTAAAGAGTACAAAATCCATTTAGCATGCCTTGGCTTTATTAACTTCTTTGGACAATGACCTATTTTTTGGTGTCTCCTCCTGCTCAGGCTACGTGGTCACTAGAAATCTGTTTAGATGGGAAGGTGCCTGCCCCATCCTGTCCATCCAAGTGGCTGGGGTGGGGCCAGGCCAGCCAGCAGCCCCCACTCAGGCTCAGGTTGAAGCCCTCCCACCTCAGCCACCCCCCAGGAGGAAGCCAGTGCCCTGAGGGAGTTACTTCAGCTACTTGTGCATGCGCTTTCATGCCCTGGCAATCTTTGCCTATAGGTTTGGATGGCCACAAACACTAGGGTTGTAGGTGCCATTTCTCCTTAGTACCTTCAGGCCCTGTGCTAGGCATTTTCCACATTGATGTCTCCATCTGAGAGGTCTGATAAGGTGCCCCAGCATGCGTAGCTGGTTAGTGGCAAATCAAGAGTCAGACCCGTTTCCCTTTAGACATGTCCCTGTGCTGCTCCAGCTTAGACCGTCGCGCCTGAAGGAGAAGCTGTGTGGCCAGAGAGCCCTCCCTTTGGAAGCTGTTGCAGTTGTCCCGGTCACTGCTGAGCTGGCAGACACCAGACTGGGACAGGAGTCAGAGGGGGTAGTTGCAGGGCCCAGGCCCCGAATGTGAATTATGAGCCCCTGCTTCCTGGTCCATGTGGGCCCTTGGCACCTTCAGCTGCAGCATCCCCCTTGCACCCTTAGCTCCATGTCTAAATCAGCCTTGCACGCCCTGCTTTTTGTGCCCGCACTGGGTGTGGAATCCGGAGCTCTTTCCAAGCACTGCTTGGACTGGACCCACCCAAATCGGAGCCCTCAGATTTGTTTTCCTTCCTCAGCTTCCTTCCTTAAAATCCACTCTTAGCTTTTACTTTTGTATTCAAACGCCCTTCCATTGCAGTTTGAGGAAGATGGGCTGACCTCCTGCTGCCTGTGGGGGGGTGGGAAGGGGAGGGGGAGAATTGGCTGGGGATGGTGAGCTGGAACTTGCTCATCTGGCCACCATCTGTCTCTGCAGGTGTCATGTGATTCTCCGAGGGCGCTGCTGTGTGAGTGGAAATGCTCTCAGTGGTGGAGAATGGACTGGACCCCCGGGCTGCCATCCCGGTAGGCAGCAAGGGAGGCTCAAGGGTGGGGAAGGGTGCACAGGACAGCCATTTCATTGATTTTTCTTGCTTTGAAATGAACGAGGACTGTCCGGAAAGTGAGGCCTCTGGTTGAGAAAAAGTTATAGCAGAGCAGGCTCGAAGGAGATCCTGCCCTTTCTAGAACATCTTATTGGTGATTAAATGGGAATTTACAAAAAATGATGGTGATCTAATATAGGCTACCTGAGGACCAAGGATTTCTCCAAAGAAGTCATACATATGACCCATAAGTACATGAAGAGATGCCTAACATCATCAGATATTAGGCAAATGCATTCAAAACCACAAGAGGCTTCTTCACACCTCTGGGATGGCTAGAATCAGAATGACGTAAGAGTAAGTGGTGGCCTTGTAGAGAAATTCGAACCCTCGTGCATTGCTGGTGGGAATGTCAAATGGTGCAGTTGTCGTGGAAAACAGTTTGGCAGTTCCTCAAAAAGTTAAACCCAGAGTTACACATGACCCAGCAGTTCCACCCCTAGATATATACCCAGGAGAACTGAAAACACATGTGCATGAATGTTCATAGCAGCATTATAGCCAAAAAGTGGGAACAACCCAAACGTCTAGTAATGGGTGAATGGATAAATAAAATGTGGGGTGTCCACACAGTGGAATATTATTTGGCAATAAAAAGGAATGAAGTCCCGATACCCGGCGACAGCATAGCCAGACCTTGGAAACAGGCCCAGTGAAAGAAGCCAGACATGGAAGGCTGCACCCTGTATGACTCCATGTTTACACAATGATGAGAATTGGTAAATGCATCAAGGCAGAAAGTAGATGAGCGGTTGCCAGGGATTGGGAGAGAAGCGAATAGGGAGTGACTGCTTATGGGCACGGTGTTTCTTTCTGAGGCAATGAACATGTTCTGAAATGAGGTAGCGGCTATAGTTTTACAATTCTGTGAATATACCCAAAACCATTGAACTGTATACTTTAAATGAGTGAATTTTATGCTATGTAAATTAGGTCTCGTTAAAGCTGTTGTAAAAAAAAAAAAAAAGAAGAAAGAACATTAGACTTAAGAGAACATTAACATGAACTGTTTGGGCTAAAATAAAAATAAAACAGTAAAATATTTATCCGTAATCCTATCAGCTAACAATTCAAACCAGTTTTTCTGCATTCCCTTCTAGTCTTTTTCCAAACACTTAGGTAATTTTGACACGCTTATAGTATGACCGAACTGTCCTTACATTTCCAGAGGATTCTATGTGTATGTATTTTATAATTTACTTACAGAACCAACATTAACTGAGTACGTCTATGTGCCAGGCACCATGCCAAGTGTCAAGGACCCAAGGATGAATAAAAGACCAGTCCTGCCCTCGGGGTAATCAGGCGTTCAGGAAGTACGCTTTCTGTTTAACAGATGCGGGCATTAAGATCAGCAAGGTTAAGTGAAATGTCTGCGGTGACCCAGCTGGTGGCCGACAGAGCTAACACTAACCTGGGCCTCTGACTGCCCAGTGTAGGATCTTTCTCAGTGTAGACCTTGCTCCTGTTTTCTTGTTCTAAAGCAGCACTTGTTGCCTCTTGGTGGGATCGTAGTCCCATGAATAAGGTAGACCGCTTCCCTGCTGTCCTAGGTGGGTTCCCCGAGCCCCCAAAGCTGTAAGTGTGATGGAGCCGGTATTTAAACACAAGATTTATATGGCTATCAATTCACTGAAGTTCAGTTTCTTTTGTTGCTGCTGTTGTTTTCGTTTGAGGTTCAGTTTAAAAAACAAAACAAAAATATACAAATGTCTTTGCAAAAAAAAATATATATCAGTGCCCCTGGGTGGTGTAAGTATGTGATTTTCCTTTTCTTCTCTAGGCTTTGTCTTTGTTTTCTATAATTAGCTTGTGTGAGTTTTGCTAGATAGACACACACACGGGTGCACGTGTGTGGGTGCTTGTGTACATGGCAATGAGCGGGTACATTGCAGGATCTCCTAAAGGCTGTGTTATGTCTGGCACTGACTAGGTCATCAAGAAGAAGCTAGTGGGATCCGTGAAGGCATTGCAGAAGCAGTATGTGTCCTCGGACATGGTGGTCACTAGTGAAGACGGAGATGCCAACGCCATGTGCAGTGCCCTGGAGGCCGTATTTATCCACGGCCTGCACGCCAAGCACATCCGCGCCGAGGCCGGAGGGAAAAGGAAGAAAAGCGCCCACCAGAAACCTCTTCCTCAGCCTGTCTTCTGGCCCCTCCTGAAAGCCGTCACCCACAAGTGAGATCAGCTGAGGAGGTTTTGCTGTGGGGAGGAGCTTCAGAGTGGGGGACACGGGGCTCTCCCTCGCCACCTGTACGGGAAAGCAACAGAGACACTCTGTTCTAGAACAGAGATGGGTGAGGTAGGGGTTATTGTTAGACCAAGCCTCAAGGGCCCTTCAGCCCTCAGGCAATGGCTGGGGGCTGCTTCAAGCACCCGGCTGGTCGCCTTTAGCCGGGGCCACTGTTACCACACCACGGCAAACCGAGGTGGTTGCAACAGAGAATGGGCGGCCTGCAAAGCCTAAAATCTTTACTATGTGGCCTTTTACAAAAGAAGTTTGCTGACCCTGCCTTAGAATGTTTGAACATCTGTGTTGTTAAATATTATACTCGTAACAGGGGATGGCATTCTTTAAAAAAAAGTGGAATCCAGGTCATCTGACTATTCACCCTGGGATGGTTGTCTCCGTGGCCCTGCCGCTGACCGCCTGGGCTGTGGAGCAAGCGGCTGGCCCTGGGCCTCAAAGGGCTACCTGATGCCACCTTCGTCTGAGGTGCCTTGTCGGTCTCTATCTTCCTTTTCCTGCTGCCGGCCGCTGCCCTGTCTCAGGTTCTTACCCCACTCCTGGGTGACAGTGGCTTTCTGATTGTCCTCCTTAGCTCATTCTCTCTCTTTAGCCCAGTCAGCGGGGCAGCACTGACTGAGCTGAAGCTGACCAGAGCTTGCTCACAGAGCCCCGCGGAGCTTGGTCTGCACTCCCACGGGCCAGACATACACAGGGCACCGTGGTAGTCAGAGGTGGGGCATTTGCAGCAGATCAAGGATTCAGGAACTCAGTTTGGTACGTGTGGGATCTCATCTTATCCAGAGCGGCCCACCAAGACGCCTGCGTAACTGTGGTCAAGTCACTTTGCTGTGTAAAAACCCTCAGGCTCTCAAATGCTGGCCTGGAGTCTGATTCACTAGGCGGGGGCCCCAGAATCTGTATCCTGACCAAGTTCCCAGGTGATTCTGATGCACAGCCAGGCGTGGGGACCACTGCCCCGCTTTGCCTCACCAGTTGCATCCTCAAGACCCTGCATTACCTGACTTTGCAACCCAATCACCCACTCCTCCTCCCCATGTTGTAATTGGAATGTGCCCACCACTACTGTTACAGAGCTGTTGCTTTCCTTCCCTTGGTGCCTTTTTTCTGTCAGTCCTTTGTGCCTAGAAGGTTCTTCTTCCGTTTTCGCCTCTTGAAATCCCTCGCGGCCCAACTCAGATACTGCCTTTTCTATGGCATTTTTCTTACTATGACCCAGAAATGATTGCCTACTCCCACCCCAGCTCTGCTGACAACAGGGTTCACCTCAGTGTGCCTGTGAAAGGTGGTTACCTGGATTGAGGACAGGACCATGTCTTTACCCTGTATCTTCACAGCTCCAAAGACCTTGCCCTTAGGGGCTCATCAGATGTGTGCTGGATGAGTACATGATGTCAGGGGTCCCCCCAGGTAGTTGTAATGAAAATGGTGATTATCCTTCGTGACAGCAACCTCAAAAAGTTGGGGGTTATAGCTTAATATTTCTAAATTCCCCATAGAGCACTATTATCCAAGATTTTTTCAAGCCTGTATAGATGGGCAGTCGTTATTATGGGCTCTTGCTAACCAGTGGATAAAACAAGACCTTCAGTAATTGGAAATCATTTCTTGAAACAAGCCTGTCCTCCCCATCCCCAGACACATCATCTCGGAATTGGAGCACCTGATCTTTGTGAGCACGGACGTGGGCCGCTGCCGGGCCTGGCTGAGGCTGGCCCTCAACGATGGCCTGATGGAGTGCTACCTGAAGCTGCTCCTCCAGGAGCCGGCCCACCTGTGCGAGTACTATCAGCCCACAGCCCTGCTTCGAGATGCTGAGGAGGGGGAGTTCCTCCTCAGCTTCCTGCAGGGACTAACATCCTTATCCTTCGAGCTCTCCTACAAGTCCGCCATCTTAAACGAGTGGACGCTTACCCCGCTGGCTCTCTCTGGGCTTTGCCCGCTCTCTGAGCTCGACCCCCTCACTACCTCCAGGACAGAACTACAGCGGAAGGAGTCTCTGGATTCAATTTCCCATTCCTCAGGCTCGGAGGACATCGAAGTCCAGCACTCAGGCCACAAGATCCGACGGAACAGGAAGCTCACGGCCTCCTCGCTCAGCCTGGACACAGCCAGTTCGTCCCAGCTGTCTTGCAGCCTAAACTCTGATAGCTGCCTACTCCAAGAGAATGGCTGCAAGAGTCCAGACCGTTCTGAGGAGCCCATGTCCTACGACTCAGACCTGGGGACAGCAAATGCTGAGGATTCAGACCCATCTCTGCAAGAGTGAGTGCTCCTCCCCCACTCCTTCCCTCACTCTCTTCCTTCCTGCCTCCTTCTCTTCCTCTTTCGAGTCTCCCTTCCTATAGCATGTGATTGCCTGTCACTGAGCACTGACCTCTATAAGGGCATAAAGAGAGACAGAGGGGACATCGTCTCTCTTCCTCAGGGACTGGAGGTGCTGGGACCTGTAACTGGAGGCCACATGGGGCTGTGAGGAGGATGGATTTAGGTAGGGCTCAGAGCTGGATCAGGCTCCATCCAGTGCTGCCCCTGGGTGAACTTCAGCAAGTTACCTCATTTCTCCGAGGTGCAGTGTAAAATATTATTGCCTCTAGAGGGAAGGAAACCAACAGTTCAGGGTGATAGTTACAATTCCAAAAAATGCAATGAAGCATAACAGATAAGGGTGCTCCTCTGTGACCTCCCAGAAGGCCTCAGAAGGACACAGACCCTGAACAATGACTGGAGGATATGGCAGACAAAAGGGGCAAAGCAGGTGTATGGAGGAAGAGTCCATGGAACAATGAACTTGACTAGAGGAGGGAGCCTGGACAGAGCCTTCTCTTTAAAAAAATTTTTTTAATTTGAATATAGTTGATACACAATGTTGTATTAGTCTCAGGTGTACAACATAGTGATTCACCATGTCCGTGTTATGCCATGCTCACCATAAGCAGAGCCTTCTTTATCCAGGCTTTTTAACAGTAATTTTTGAATAGATGATCTATTTTTATAGTTAGAAAAAGGCTAAAATGCATATGGTGAAAAGCCTTTCACACCCCTGTCACCACAATTATTAATTCCTTACATTTTCTTCTGATGTTTCTAAATGCATCTAACAAATATGAATATACAGATTTTTAAGATGTTTTTTATTTCTTATCCCTGCCCCCTTTCCCCGCAAAAGCTATTATAAATACACTCTTTGACATCTTGTTTTGGAAGAGATCATATCAGAGTTTTTGTTTTGGAGTGTCCTTTCAGAGCTTCTTTATTTTTTTTTTTTAATTGCCTATTTTTCCGTCGCTGGTTAGTTTATTTGACCAGCCCTGTATTTAATGGGCATTGGAGTTCACTATTTTTATAAATAACCTTGTGTATGTGGTCTTTTAATTCTATGCAAGTAACTCTGTTCAGTAAATTCCCAGAAACAGAATTGCTGAGCCACAGGATACATTAATGTGTGATTTTCACAGATACTGCCTAGTTACCCTCTGTCAGGGATGGGCCTTTGTCCTCTCAGCCTTGTCAGCAGAATGTATTATCAAACTTTTGGATATTTGCTCATCTAATAGGTAAAAAATGGTAAATTTTATTAAGTACTTCCTTCAGCCATGCTCCCCCAGCCTGTGTTTAGGACCTTCTTATCTACTCCTGGGTGCTCCCCACCCTCTTGGTTCGGGCCTTTACAGGGTTCCCAGCTGGTGTAGGAATAACACCAGGTTGGGGGCTGGTGTGGACTGGCTTGCAGTGGATCTAGTTTCAAGCTCTAATCTACCACTTACAAGTTCAGTAACGGCTGCCAAACTGCTGACTCTTTGAAGTTGTTTCTTCATCTTTAAAATGGGGACTCCCACGGGACGCCTGGGTGGCTCAGTCGTCAAGCTTCTGCCTTCGGCTCAGGTCATGATCCCAGGGTCCTGGGATCGAGTCCCTCACTGGGCTCCTTGCTCAGCGGGGAGCCTGCTTCTCCCTCTGCCTGTAGTTCCCCCTGCTTGTGCTCTTGCTCGCTCGCTCACTCTCTCTCTCTCTGACAAATAAATAAATCTTAAAATGGAGACTCCCTCATATGGCTGTCTGCAAATCAGATCAGATGCCTGGGAGTGAGCTGCACACATAACAGCATCTGGTAGACCCGTGAAGTGGCTTCTGAGCACTGAGCACATTAGCTAGAACTTTCAAATGTCAAACGGAAGAATTTAGATAGAACGTGCTGGAAAGGAGCAATCCCCACCTATCCACTGGGCGGGTGGCGTGACTCGGGTTCGTTCACCTATCTGAGCCCTTCATTCTCTCCCTCCTCCCACAGGCCAGCCATGTGTCTTTGTCATGTGTCTTGCTTTTATATTTCATGAGTCTTGTGATTGGAAAATTTCCAGCTTCAGGTCATTGAATCAGTGACCGTCCACCCTGTGTGGGAAGTTATGGGAGAGCTCGAGGGAAGAGGGTCAGGACGTACAGACAAGCACTGGGCAGTGGTGTGAGGAACCAGCGCCTCCTGGGAGCACACAGATGCACAAACACACATCTAGCACCAGCTCTGCTTAGGGGGTATGTCTTAAGAGTAAAGATTCTCATCGATGTTTAAGAGTTCACTTATTTTTATTATATTACTTAAATATTTGTAACTTAAAATTAGGCATAAATACCATGGGTTTATAACTCCTACAACTGTAAAATCAAAACATTGACAGATTAAACAGAAAGTACAAAACACATAACATTCCAAATGAAATGTATTAATTTAATCTTTTCCGGAAACCAAATTGCAGTTTGCTTTGTGAACAGAGGATTGATGCCCTGAATAGCTTCTTTTGTGTTGGTTGGGTCTGAATTACAGTGATCACTGAGAAGCACAACTACAGTCCAGTGGTTAGGAATGTGGAGTCAGGAGTCAGACCGCTGGAGTCTTCCATTAACCAGCTTCGCGACCTTGGGCAAGTTATTCAACCTTTCTGACCTTGATGTCCTCATCTGCAAAATGGGGTTAAGAATGCTAGGAAGAATTAATGAGGTGAGGCATGTAAAGTGCTTAGAGCAGTGCTATACACAGGGTGAGTGCTCGGTAGGTGGTGTCATTGTCATTTTACTACTGACATCCCTGTGATGTCAGTTCTCCCACGACTTTTCTTGATACACACAGCTGCAAAACCGTGGTTAGTGATCTTTGTCAAATGTCATTGTCATAAGGCCTTCTCTTGGAGGAAGGGATTCTTCACATATGCAGCCCTCCTCCATGCTTTTAATAGTGTCCCCCGACTGCCAGACGGCGCCATGGACCACCACACGCCAGTCCACGTGCTCAGGAGAAGCGCAGGCTCAGAATTTCTTGGCAGGGGTACTTTATGAGGTGGTCCTCCAGATCCTCCGGCCCTGCTTTTTATTTGTTTCACACCTATACCTCTACGTACACATATATATGTATGTATACAATACATCTTTTTTTCCCAGTGTCTTCTAAATGAAAGCACAAAGTTCTAGAATTTTTGAATAGACAGTTTTTGAAAAACAGTGCCCTGAGCTGGACAGAACAAAAGTGGACAGACTGGAGTGGTTTCAGTCCAATGTTGCATTTTCTTCAAAGGTTTTGAAAATTTTCTTTTGCCTTTCCTTGAAAATCTCATCTCTTAAAAAAAAAAAATTTCTGGCACTTTTCTGCACTTGATGTATATATGTCTCTCTTATTCTCTTTGGGTGCTGATGGCCAGCACTGATTCTGGTGAGGCTCTGTGAACTTAATTTCACCTTGACCTTGGCGTTGATTTGGCAGAAGCTCTTATCACACAGGCTTCTTGCTGTTGGGTGGCATTTCTTTATTCCAACACCCAGTCTACGCTGTCATTTAAAATTTGTCTCACAGATTAGGATTCATTGATAATTGATAACTGTTTTGGTAATGCTAGTGAATATAATTCTTTCCTTACATTTTTATATTCGGGTCCATGGAGGCTAAGCAGTCTTACCAGTGATGATAAGAACAGGCACAGTAACAAATTGAGGTTAATGTTTATTGAGTACTTGTTTTGTGCTAGACACACTACCAAGCATTTTACCCATGTTATCGTACATAGCCTTTAACACAGTCCTAACAGGTGGGTGCTGTTACCATGCATGTTTTACAGGGAAGGGAATGAAGTCTGTGAACTTTAGGAACCTATTGTGGGGCCCAGCAGTGTGCCAACCAAAGGCAGGACGCTGGAGCCCTGCTCTTAATCGGTCACCACCCCACCTCTCAGGATTCTCCGTGGAGCTGGGACCTCACAGGGGCCATCTGTCAAAAATCTGCCTCCCTAGCTCATCTCAGAAAGTGGCCCCATTCTGTCACAATGTTTTGGACACAAGCTATTGGTTAGCAAATGTCCCTTCCTTCTCTGCCTGTGGAAACTACCCCTTTGTGTCCAGAACCCATGAGCCTCAGTGTCTGCTCACTGCAAAGCTGTACTTTTGGATTCTCTTTGGTCTGTTTTCAGAGCGAGGCTGAGAGCAAGAACCAGCAGCCCCCTGACTCCCCCCATAACTATTCCACCAACATGTTTACACCTTCTTCTGATAGGTCACCTCCTTATTTGTTGAGATATGATTCACCTACCATAAAAGTCACCATTTTAAAGTGTCCAATTCAGTGGGTTTTAGTATATTCATAAGTTTGTGCAACATCATTGTGATATAATTGAAGAACACTTTCATCACTCTGGAAGGAAACCCCTTACCTGTTAGCTATGGATTCACCTATTCTGGACATTGAATGTAAATGGAATCATATCATATGTGGCTTTCTGTGACCGCCTTCCTTCATTTAGTATGTTTTCAAGGTTCGACCATGTTATAGCATGGGTCATGGCTGAATAATATTCCATTGTGTGGATATACAATTTGTTTATCTGTTCATCAGTGGACATTTGTTTTATTCCTACTTTTTGGCTATTATGAATAATATTGCTGTGAACATTCACGTACGACTTTTCTGTGGACATTGTCTTTTAATTCTCTTGGGTATATACCCATGAGTTGAATTGCTGAGTCATATGGTAACTCTATATTTAACTTTTTGAGGAACTACCAAACTGTTCTCCACAGAAGCTACACCATTTCACATTTCCACCAGCAGTGTGTAAGAGTTCCATTTCCTCTACCTCTTTGCCAACACTTGTTACTCTCTGTCTTTTTTTATTATAGGCATCCTGGTGGGCATAAAGTAGTGTCTTATGGCTTCAATTTTTATTTCAATACTATCTAATGATATTGAGCATCTTTTCATATACTTGCTGTCCATTTGTATACCTTTAGAGAAATGTCTCTGCAAATCCTTTGCCCATTTTTCTTTTTTAAATAAAAATATTTATTTATTTGAAGAGAGAGAGCAAGAGCATGAGAGAGAGCAGGGAGGTGGGAGGAGGCAGAGGGAGGGGCAGAAGCAGACTTCCCACTGAGCAGGGAGCCCGATGCGGGGGCTGGATCTCAGGACCCCGGGATCATGACCTGAGCTGAAGGCAGATGCTTAACTGACTGAGCCACCCAGGCACCCCTCCTTTGCCCATTTTTCAATTGGATTATTTGTTCTAGTACTATTGAATTGTTAAGAGCTCTGTATATTCTGGATACTAGACCTTTATCAGATATAATACTTGCATATAAGATATGCAGATTTTTTTTCCTATTCTGTGGGTTGTCTTTTTACTTTCCTGATAGTGTCCTTTTGAAGCACAAAAGCTTTTAGTTTTTTTTTGTTTGTTTGTTTTTTTAAAGATTTTATTTTATTTATTCATGAGAGGCAGAGAGAGAGAGAGAGAGGCAGAGGGAGAAGCAGGCTCCCAAGGAGCAGGGAGCCTGATGCGGGACTCGATCCCAGGACCCTGGGATCATGACCTGAGCCGAAGGCAGACGCTTAACCATCTGAGCCACCCAGGCGCCCAAGCTTTTAGTTTTGATGAAGTCCAACTTACCTATTTTTTATTGGATGCTTATCCATTGAATGTCATATAAGAAAACATTGCCTGATCCAAAGATTTATACCTATTTCCTTCTAAGAGTTTTATAGCTTTAGCTCTTAACCTTTAGGTCTTTGATCCATTTTGAGTTCATTTTTTATATCGTGTGAGATAGGAGTCCAACTTCATTCTTTTGCATGGGACTATTCACTTATCCCAGCACCATTTGTTGAAAAGACTATTCTTCCCCCACTGAAATGTCTTGGGTTGAAAATCAGTTGCCCATAAATGCATTGGATGGTCACCAATGCTTGACTAGCTAGCATGTCTTGAAATGTTGTTTGGGGTTTTGACGTTGTAAATAAGAGCAGAGCTCAGCCCGAAGACATTAAGGTAAAAACCTGTGTTCTAAAATCCTCATTTCCATAAGCCAACATTAAGGGGAGTTTGACATATCTTCTGACCCAGTCTAAGCTTTTAGGGCAGATACGTGCAGTCTTTTGGGCCCAGCTAGCTTTGTTGCCATATGAACCTGCATTTGCCCATGACATACTCTACTGGGTTTGTAAGCAGAGGAGGAGACAGCTATCGGTTTACTTCAGAAACAGAACTTGGATTCTCAGAAGCCTCAGGAGAAGGGGGAGCAGCCGCTATAGCCAGTGCACGTTTTAGATGGCCCAGGAGTGTGTTTCCATGTGCGCATGCATGCGTGTACCTGCACACAAAGGCAGTAACACTGGCTCCCTACATTCCCTGTGCACCCCTGAGGGGCAGGAAGAACCAGTGCCACTGGAGGCGTGAGCAGGTGCACACCCCATGCATAGTTGCGCACACACTCACGCACCTTGTGTACACTGATCCAGTAGCAGTTCTTGGGAACGGCGGGCTTCTCTGAGTCCGCCCGTAGTCCGGCTCTGAGGCAGACCAGCCCTCGCACCTCACCCCGACCCTGCTGTCCACTTACTGTTCCAGGAACAGAGTGGGTCCTCACTTCCCCTAAGTCCATGTCCCGGGGAGTGGGTTCTTGGTGCCTCAGCTGCTTGTGCTGTTGGGGAGCCCTGCTCTGAGACACTGTTCCCTGGGGCTCTGCCACAACAGCTTGAGGAAATCGTTGCTCACACAGCTGTTGGCATGGCTGAGCAAGCTCTCCAGGCCCGCAGTAGCCTGTTCAGAAAGCAAAAGCAAAGGGCAGCCAGTTTCCGTTCACATCAGTCCTTTCCTCAGCTTTGTGAGCTTTTTCACTGGAGATCCTGGCACCCCGGCTCACTTGGCCACCCACTCTGCCAAAGTCCCGGCGGGGGAGAAGTTTCATGAGGCGTGTCAGAGGCGGGCTGTGAGGAAGCAAGGAGCAATCGATGCTGAGAGCCTTGCTTGTCTTTGAAATCACAAAGCAGCAGTGTTCCATTCTTACCACTGCCCCGGTAGCCTTGGGCATTCTCACTGACAACCTGTCACACAGGTTTCTTTGTTTAAAAACTTCTAGGGTGTTGTCGGAATTCAGCAAAGCCCAGGTAAACTCTGTGCCAACCAGCGGACTGAGCGGACTCAGCGGAGAAGCGGAGATTCCTACAGGGCGGGCCTCACCCTCCCTCCCCGGCCCAGAGGCCAGCATCCCGTGTGATGTGCCCGCAGAGCCCCTCCCGGCCCAGGCATCCCCTGCCACTCAAGACGGGCACCGCAAGCAGGAGCCGCCTGCCCAGGCACCTGGCACCCTGGGCCTGCAGCAGTCAGGCACTGCCCAAGCTGTCCCTTCGGGAAGTGCTTCGGGCCAGCAGCCTGCCAGTCCCGTGAGAGAGGTGGCCAGAGCGATGGCCCGGGGGAGTGGCCAGCAGAAGCCCCCGGAGGATGACAGAGCTGCGTGGAGCCTTGGGGTGTCCTCACCCACCAGTCCGGTGAGTGGTGCAAGCTTTTCAGGGGGCGGGCTTGGGGAAATGTCTCAGAGCTGGTGCACGGTATCTCCAGCTTGTGACCCCGAGTGGTCTCTGCCTTCTCCCCGCTAGCCCCTCATGTCTCTTGGCGGATATGAGCCAAGCACTCTGCCAGTCCCTTCCCATGGGTGTCTCTTGTCATCTCGCATTGACCCCATGGAGAAGATAATTCTCATCTGACCGTGGATTCTGCCCTTAACCACTGCCACTTAACCAGCGTAAGGCCTCAGGCCAGGTGCTTCACCTCACTGAGCCTTGGTTTCTTCCTTTGTGCTTGTTATTTTTAAATTCATATTTTCTAAAATAGCAGGCTTTGAGAATACTCATCTTGCAACATGAACCAGACTTAGAATTGCGCTGTCCAGTATGGCAGCCACAAGCCACACACGTGGCTGCTGAATGAGCACCTAAAATGTGTCCAGTCCAACCTGAGATAAGCTGTACAAAATAAACACTGGATTTTGAAGTCGGTATGAGAAAAAGAATGTGAAATGTCTCAATAAATTTTTATTGATTACATGTTAAAATGAAAATATTTTTGATATGTTGGGTTAAATATATTATCAAAATTAATTTCACCTGTTTCTTTTTACATTTTAAAAATGTGGCTAGTAGAACATTTAAAATGACACACGTGACTGGAATTCTATTTCTGTTAGGCAGTGCTGTTCTAGGATAAGCCAGTCTACTTTGCTGATAACCCGAGGGAAGCCAGCCCCGGGAATCTTCTAGACAGAGCCATGGGTCAGAGGCTTGAGAACTATTGTCAAAGCTGTGGACCCAAGCTCTTTTGCCATTTCACATTTGTTCTTGTGTCATGAACAGCCCGGATTGGAAGTTGTATGCCAGTCTGCACATGGACACACAAAGCCCCGAGTTTATCCCAGCTGCTGTCTGGGGTTCATGCTAGGAGGTGGTCTTGCTTTTTCAGCTGCATCCATGTGTGTCTCTCATCTGGCCTGTAGCTTCCAGATCCTATAGCTCAGGATGGCCCCAAGGCCACGAAATAGACTAGGAGACAAATGCACACACACACCCTTGTTTTTAATAGCTTTTTTGAGCTATAACTCATACACCATGTAATTCAGCTAATCAAAATGTATAATTCAGCTTTTTTCATATATTCACAAGGCTGTGCAACTATCACTACAATCTAATTTGAAAACATTTTCATCCCCCATCAAAGAAACCCCTTGCCATTAGCAGTGACTCCCCATCCGCCTCTCCTCCCCCGCCAGCTCACTCCTCTCATCCCCTGGCAACAGCTAATCTCCTTTGTCTATAGATTTGCTATTCTGGACATTTCATGTAAATGGAATCGTGTAATACGTAATCTTTTGTGACTGACTTCTTCCAGTTAACATACTGTTTTCAGGATTCATCCCCGTTGTAGCCTGACCTATACTTCAAAGAGTAATAACTCATTGTAGATTCCATTGTATGAACACATTACATTTTATTTTGTCCTTCATCAGTTGATAGACATTTGGTTTTTGCCCCATATTTTGGCTATTACAAATAACACTGCAGTGAACGTTCATGTACAAGTTTTTGTGTGGATATATATTTTTAATTGTCTTGGGTACATACCTAGCAGTAGAATTTCTGGGTCACGTGGTAATTCTATATTTAACCTTTTGAGGAACTGCCAAAATGTTTTCCAAAGCAGCTGCCCCATTTTATATTCCCACCAGCAGTGTATTCTTCTACATCCTCACCAACAGATCTTATTGTCTCTATAAAAATTGTTATGATAGCTATCCTACGGGGTGAGGAGTGGTATCTCATTATGGTTTTGATTTGCTTTTCTTTAATGACTGATGATGTCAAGTATCATCTTTCTTTGTGCCTTTGGGCCATTTGTATATCTGCTTTGGAGAAATGTCTATTCAAGACCTTGGCCCATTTTTAAATTGGATTTTTTGTCTTTTTATTCTTGAGTCATAATAGTTCTTTATATATTCTGGATTTTATACCCTTATTAGATACATAATTAGCAACTATTTTCTCCCATCCTGTGAGTTGTCTTTTCACTTTCTTGGTGGTATCACTTACAGCATGAATTTTTTTGGTTTTGATATCGTCCAATTTATCTGTCTTTTTCTTTCGTCATTTAGGCTTCTGGTGTCATATCTATATCCATTTCCTGATTCAAGGTCACAGGGATTTATGTGTTCTTCTGAAAATTTTATATTTTCAGCTCTTCTATTTAGATCTAGAATCCATTTTGAGTTGATTTTTATACATGGTATAAGGATGGGGTCCAGCTTGATTCTTTTGTGCATGGATAGCCAGTTGTACCAGCACCATTTGTTAAAAACACCATAATTTCCCCCTTTAGAAGGCCCTTGGGTCCTGCGATCGAGCCCCACGTCAGGCTCCCTGCTCAGCGGGGAGCCTGCTTCTCCCTCTCCCTCTGCCTGCCGCTCCGTCTGCTTGTGCTCATGCTCTTTCTCTCTCTCTCAAATAAATAAAATCTTAAAAAAAAAGAACATTTAAAAAAATAATAAATAAAATATAGACCCTTTCCTGCCCACCAGAAGGCTCTCATGCCTTCTCCCATTGTTTCCCTCCAAAGGAAGGCTCCATTCTGACTTCTAGCACCATAGGTTCAGTTTTTCCTCTTGTTGAACTTCATTCATATAAATGGAATCCTACAATATGTACTCCTGCTTCTTTCACTGAGTATTTGTCTGTGAGATTCACCTGTGCATTTAGCATGAGGTTCTAGTTCGTTCTTTTCCATTGTTCTGTAGTATTCCATCGTAAAAATATATCCCAGTGCATCTGTCCATTCTCCTGCTAACAGACATTTGGGTTGTCTCCAGGTTTGGGCTGTTAGGACGAGAGCTGTTGCCTCATTGTTGTTGTCTCTCGCACTTGCCTTTCAGTGAACCTCTGCACTCATTTCTGTGGGTATATATCTAGGAATGGAATTGCCAGGTCATTGGAGAGGTGTATGTTTACCTTTAGTAGATACTGCCAAGCATCTTCTAACAGTGCTTGTACTGACTTGTACTCACACTAGCAATACATGAGCATTTTCACTGCTCTTTATCCTAGCCAGTGGTGTCATCAGTCTTTTTACTAGCCACTTTAAAAGGTGTGTAGTGGTGTCTCACCTTGGTTTTTTGTTTTTTTTTTTAAGACTTTGTTTGAGAGAGAGCACACGTGCGAGCAGGTTTAGGGGAGCAGAGGGAGAGGGAGAGAGTCTGAAGCAGACGCCTTGCTGAGCACAGAGCCGGATGTGGGGCTCGATCCCAGGACCCTGAGATCACGACCGGGGCCAAAACCGAGAGTCAGATGCTTAACTCACTGCAACACCCAGGTGCCCCTCACTGTGGTTTTAATTTGCATTTCCCTGATGACCAAAGATTTTGATACCTTTTCATTTCCTTACTGGCCAGTCCTTTTTTGGAAGTGTTTAAGTCATTGTTTCATTCTTAAATTTAGTTGTGTGTATTTTCCTTATTTATTTGTAGGGGCTCTTTATGTATTATGGATAGGTCTTTTATTGCAGAAAAAATATATAGCATATATACATATAGCAGATGTCTTCTTTGAATCTATGGCTTGCCTTTTAAATCTCTTAATGGTATCTTTTATGGAATAGATGTTCTTGGTTTTAATGATATTCAGTTTATCGATCACTCTGTGGTTAATATGTTTTGTGTCTATTTTTAAACTCTTTGTCTACCCAAGGCTGTGAGGCTGTGAAAACCCCTGTATTTTCATCTAGAAGCTTTACTGTTTTACCCTTCGCAGTCAGGTTTATGATCCCTCTGGGATTAATTTTTGTGTATGGTGTGAGGTAGGAGTCAAAAGTCATGTTTTTCCATAGGGGTATCTGATGGACTAGCACCACTTACTGACTATGACTATTTAAATCATGTCACTGTATAAGTGAGGGTCACACTCTCCATTTTTACTATCCTGAAGATTACTTCAGAGCCCAGAATGTCACAGGACCCTGAAGGTTATGAGCAAAAAACTGTCACCACTCTCTGAAGGGTGAAGAAGAAAGGCTCCACAGCCCCTGGCTTGAGCTGGCAGCAGAGGGCTGTCCCGAGGGTTTGTGGCTGTGTGCCCCAGCAGGGCTCCACAGAGTGGCACTGACCAAATTGAGTTCACTCCTGTCCAGGATGTGACTTGTCTTGTGTTGGCTCAGACATCCTGTCTTGCCAGGGTCCCAGAGCTGATGGGACAGGGCAGCTTGTCACCCAAGCTCCTCCTCTGCTTACTGAGTATTGACCCTCGGGCCTCCTTGCAGCTCCTGACAAAACAAGCTCCTTCCAGCCCTAGGCTTGCCCATTTGCTGTTCCATCTGCCGGGACCCTTTCCCAGCTTGCTCCTTTCCCTCGCCTTTGTCTCTGCCTTTCCTGAGCACCTTGTCTCAAAAGCACCATCCCCAGAGACTCTGTTTCGCATTTGCCTACTTTACTTTGTTTATAACACTCATCACTGTGTGAAATCATATTGTCTCTCAATCTGTCTACTTGTTTATTTTCTGCCTCTGGACTCGCATATCAGCTCCATGATATGAAAGAACGTGTTTGCTCCCTTCTGTAATGTCAGCTCTGAGCACTGTACCTGGGAGAGTATAGGCATAATTAATAGTTCTCGAACTCTCAGAGACTCTCGAGATGCTAACTTGTAAGTTTACATTGAGAAGTATACCATCAAGTGCATGGGGTGGGCAGGTTGGTCTGACCAGGGCAGGCTCTGCCTCCCTGCAGGTCTCAGGGCTGAGAGTCACAGGACCCACTCATCCCTGAACTCAGTAGACAGCCTCTGGGCCCCGCTGTGCAGCCCGCCAGCTCACAGTGGCCGAAGGGACCCCCAGCCTTTGGACAGGGTAGCACCCTGCCTTGTGTGTCGCCTCTGTACTTCTCATCTTTCTGTGCTTCGGGCACTTAGTCACTGCTAGTTATTGAACACTTGGGTGGCGTGGGGTGGACAGTGCGGGGAGTAGAGGGGTGTCACCGTCAAGTTGTATAACCATGAGAGCCATTCAGTCTTTCTTTAAAAAAAAAAAAAAAAAAAAAGAACATTATTTTAAATTCACTCAACACAAAGGCCCTGCTCTGGGCCAAGCACCATGCTTGGTACAGTGATGGAACAGGACAGACACAGGCCCTGCTCCCTGGGGACAGACACCGGATTAGACAAGTCATTACCCACATCATAATTATGCTGGTGACAAGTGCTGGGAAGGAAAGGAGCAGGGAGTGGAGGAGCTAAGGGGACTTTTACTTGTGGAGTCTGGGGGATTGTGAATTGATTTCTCAGTGTGACTCCAGAGGACAGTCTGAATTCTAAAACTTCATCCTAATCACTTCCCTCATGTGGTCCCCTCATCACCGCCTATGGCATGTGGTCCCCTCCCCCAGACAGGAGTACAGGCAAAATCTGTTTGCCTGGTGTAATGAGGCTAGACTGGACAAAAAGTGCTTTTTCTAAAAACAGTCCAGACACCTAGCACCTCCCTCCTCAGCCAGACCCCCCTCTGAGACTTAGCTGTTGTTTACACATCCTGCACCTTTACCAGCTCAAGTGGCACTGCTCTGGCTTAGACCCTTGGTCGGTGGTGGTTTCCCCCACTGTTAAAGGGACAGGGAACTGGCCAGATGTGGGGCCTGGGTGAGCAGAAGGTAGGAAGGTGGTAGGAAAAGGGGGGGGAGAAGGACAACAGTGGTGTGCTCCCCCCCGACACTTCATGGTGGGGGTTGCTGGCTGGGGCACAGCTGCAGGCCTGTGTGCAAAAGCTCCAAGGACCCAGTGTTCCCACTGTTTTTTCTCTATTGCCTAAGAGAACAAAAGATTCTCCCTGGAGTTTCATTTCCTGGTGGCTGACCTTGGCCACTGGCCCATGTCTGAACATTTCCTAGTAGTCTCCCTCGTCTTTCGGAGAGAGAAGCCCTCACCAATGAACGTACATCAGCTCACAATTCACATTTATCTCCTTCCTTCCAGTCCCCTCACTCTATCCTTCTTACTTCATACTAAAGATGTTTGGATAGTCAAGATTTATTCCCTCATCTGTTATAACTCTGTGCCAGGCATAAAGAGAAATGAAAAATTGCAAACAGCCTTAGAGGTGCTAGGCTGGGGGTAAGCAAAGAATGCTATGGGGGCCCAGAGGGATCCCTGACCCAGCCGGGAGGTGGGAGGAGTGTAGACAAGGGAATAGTAAGGAAAGCTTCCAGGAGGAAGTGATGGACGACCCCTAAGCTGAGACTTAAGGAATAGTGGTTTCTCCCATTGGAGCCATTAGCTGGGGCTGGGAAGCCACAGGACTTCCCAGGTATGTACACCAGGCTCTGTGAGGCTCCTCCTGTCCATTTTCCTCAGCGAGCTCCCCTGGGTCTCTATGGCCTAGGCAGGCTTTGTTCAGAATCCTGTGTTACAGGTAGTCCTCAAGTAGCCACTCTGATTGACACATTGTCCTGTCATTGGCAGAAGGAAGCACCTGCTAATTCTGAGGGTTTTTGGAGGAAGCCCTGGAGGCCCAGCATTGTGAGGCCCCCACACTCCTGAGTCAGAGCTCTCTACTCTTGGCTTAAGGAGCCATCTAGCATCTGAATGGATTAAACCATCCAAACCAATTCTTCAAGGGCAGTCCCAGCCCTGCTCCCCTTCCTTGTGTCTGGGAGCAGGGAGGGCAGTCTGAGTTAGGGGTTGGAAATAGCAACTTCAGGGTGAGGTTGGTGACGCTTAACAAAATAGCTGGGCTGGGCTCACCCCTTGTGTGAGTCATTTCCTCTGTATAGACAGTACTTAGGGCAGTCCAACCAGCTTCTTGCCTCTGCTCATCCATGCTTAGGCACAGAAAGGCAGGGAGCACTTGAAATAGTGGGGGGGGAAAAAAAGAAAAGAAGAAGCTAAAATCCATTCCACAATCCCCTGACCCCAGACCCAACCCACTTCTCCCAGCCAGCAAGCAACTTGAGGCCCAGACCGCAACAGAAGAGAAGGGGCAGGGCCTAGCTGCCTGGGGCCTCAGGGGCCTGTTCAGAAGTGAGGAGTCCCAGCAGAGGTGGCCAGTGAGGACTCTGGGTCCTGCTCACCCATGCCTCCCTCATCTCAAACTCTGTAAGCAGGGTTGAAAAATTCTACAAGCCCTTCAACAATCGGTGCTGGGATAATGGGATATGCACATGCAAAAGAATAAAGGTGGACCCCTTCCTCACACCATACACACCAGTTAATTCAAATAGATTGTAGACCTAAATGTAAGAGCTAAAACTATAAAGCTTTTAGCAGAAAACATAGGAGCAAATCTTTGTAACCTTGGCTTAGACAGTGGCGTCTTACGTATAACACCAAAGGCAGAGACAAAAGAAAAAATAGATACATTGGACTTCAGCAAAATTTTAAAATTTTGTGCCTCAAAAGGCACCAGCAAGAAAGTGAAAAGACAACCCCCAGAACTGAAGAAATTATTTGCAAACCATGTATATGGTATGGGCCTAGTATCCCATATATCCTAGAATATATAAAGCACCCTTACAACTTGAATGTTTCCTAAGGCCTTTGTAATGAAGTACCATAAACTTGATAATTCAAAACAATAGAAATGCGTTCTCTGATAGTTCTGGAAGCTAGAAGTCCAAAATCCAGATGTTGGCAGGAATGTTCTGGAGGTCCTGAGAAAGAATCTGTTCTGCACCCTTCTCTCAGCTTGGGGTTGCCAGCAATCCTTGATGTTCCTTGGCTCAAAGACCCATCACTCCCAGCTCTGCCGCTGTCATCACATGACTTTCTCGCTCCGTGTCTGTCTTCACTTGGGATTCTCCTCTGTGTGTGTGTGTGTCTTTTCTCTTATAAAAACACCAATCACATTGAAGGGCTCACCTTCCCCTAGCATGACCTCATCTTAACTAATTACATCTGCAACAACCCTACTTCCAAAGGCCAGGTTCTGAGTTACTGGGGGTTAAGGTTTTAACATATCTCTGTGAGGGACACAATTCAACCTATAACACAGGAACAAAAAGACAAACCAATTTAAGAATGGGCAAAGGATTTGAATAGACATTTCTCCAAAGAAGATATACCAATGTCCACGAAGCACAAGAAAGGTTGCTGTGTCCTTAGACATTGGGGAGATTGCAAACCCAAACCACAAGACGGTACTTCACACCCATCGGGATGGCTATAAGCAAACTGATAACAAAAAATGGTGGAGAGGATGTGGAGAAATTGGAATCCTCATACATGGCTGGTGGGAATGTAAAATGGTGCAGCCAACGTGGAAAACAGTTTGGAAATTCCTCGGAAAGTTAGACACAGTTACCATATGACCCATCCGTTCCAATCATAGGTATGTGCCCAAGGAAATGGAAAACAAACATCCACACAAAATTTTGGACATGAATGTTCACAGCAGCATTATTCATAATTGCCAAGAGGGGGAAACAGCCCTAATGCCCATCAGCTAGTGAGCAGACAGTGTGGTATGTGTACCATTATGGAATACCATTTAGTAATGAAGAGGAATAAAGTACTCACAGCTGCTATAACATGGACAGACCCTGAAAACACGGTGCTAAGGGGAAGAAGGCAGACACAGAGACCATGTGTTGTTAGAAGATTCCATTTATATGAAATGTCCAGAGTGGACAGATCTGTGGAAACAGAAAGTAGATTGTTGCTTGCCTAGAACCGGAGCAGTTGAGGGGAAATGGGGAGTGACTACTCATGGGCATGGGCTTTCTTTTTGGAGTAATGAAAACGTTCTAAACTTAGATTGTGGTGATGGTTGCACAACTCTGTGAACACACAAACTATTAAACTGTACACTTGAAATGGGTTAATTTAATGATAGGTGAATTGTGTCTCAATAAAGATGTTCATAAAAAGTTTCAAGAACAACCTCTGGGGGCGCCTGGGTGGCTCAGTCGGTTAGGCGTCTGCCTTCAGCTCAGGTCATGATCCCGGGGTCCTGGGATTAAGCCCCGCGTCAGGCTCCCTGCTCAGCGGAGAGTCAGCTTCCCGCTCTCCCTCTGTCCCTCCTCCCCTGCTCATGATCTCTCTCAAATAAATAAAATCTTTAAAAAAATAACAAAAAATAAAAAATCTTTAAAAAAGAAAGAAACAAACCTGTCTTCACTCCTTTCCCACTAGAAAAGCAAGAGCTGGATCTCAGAGGATGACTTCTACCGGCCTACCCAGGAGCCGCCCCCAGAGAGCCCCTCAGAACGCTCTGTGGCTCCTTCCGGAGGGACGCCAGAGTCGAGGCCTGGTCTCCTCCGGCATTTTTCTCAAGGACCAAGAAAAAGCTTCTCCACGGGGGCCTTAGACAAAGCCTGTGTGCCTTCCCCAGGAGGCAGTAAAAGCCAGGCAGCCGCGGCGCCGGAGCATAAGAACTTCAGGGTGGTGCACCGCCGGCAGATGGGTAGGTGGCTGTGGGCTTCCAGCGGCCTCGCTGTGCAGGGCAGTGCCTTCCAGAGTGCAGTGCTGATGGCCTCTGGGCCATGTCTTCTCCCAAACGACACCTCTTCCCCCAGTGTAATAAGGAGCACCCTTGCTGAGTAATTCAGGAAAGCATTTCAGGAAAGGCACTATATTATCTCATAAAATCTCAACAAGATAATGTTCAAAAGCCTGTTTCATATATTGAAATATTGAAACTTTTTCCCTGAAGTCATATGATTATACAAAACCCTGGGTTCTGCCTGGAGCCCAGAGCAAACCCTGCCCCTCGAAGGCATTTCAGTGTCCCCTCCCAAGGCCTTTACCTTAGATGGTTTGTTTAACAGCGCTGGTGGGGTGTATCAGCTCTGCTATCTGATTAGTGTCCTCTCTGTGCTGTTTACAGTGAGGCCAGTTCCATTTCCATGCCCTGTGAAATTCTAGAAAGCGGTCAATAACCATAACCTAATTTATCTACAACCCCCATAAACAAAAAAGTATGCCCTGGCGTTTCTCCTTCCCACTTCGTTTGGTGTCCACAATGAGCCAGCAGACAATTCTGGCCAGGTTCCTAGCTTGGGGAGTATGGGTAGAGCTTTGGTCTCCAAGCTGGCTTCATTTAGGTTTTTCTTTAGGTCCACAGGGTGATTGTAACCATGCCAGAGGAGGTGTGCTTCATGCCTAGGCCATCAGGTTCCCTGAGGGTAGGAAGACCCTGTACAATTGTTTGAAATCTCCAAGGCTAGTCCAGGCTGGGAGAGAGAGAACTATGTGTCCTTTGGACCCCCCGTTGGTGGCAGACCCCCACGAAACAGGGAGCCCTGAGCAGTGTGTGGTAGTTAGGCAGGCGCTCATTTAGCAGATAGTTATCTGCGATGTGCCAGGCTGTTCTAGGTGCTGGGAACACAGCAGGAAGCAAAACAAAGTCTCTGTCTTCACAGACTTATATCCTAGGCAGGAAATAAGATGATTCACAAGTAAATGTATAGTCTGGGCCGGTGATAATCATTGCTATGGAGAACAGTAAATTGGGGAGTACCAAGGTGGGGAGTGTACTATTTCACATGGCCAAGGAAGCCCTCACAAATAAGGTGCCTCTGAGGAGACGTGGAGGGAGGGAGAGAGGGAAGGAGGCAGGCAGGTGCGGGGCAACCTTCGTGTCTCAAGCAGGGGAACAGATGCAAAGCCCCTGCACTGGGCACGTGTTCGGGAAACCGAGGAGATGGGGAGGGCGTGGTTAGAGATGAGGGCAGAGTGAACGAGGGCCTCGAGGGCCGCGAGGGCCACAGAAGGGGCATTAGCTTTCGTTCTGAGGGAGATGGCAGCCATTGCAGGGTTTGGGGCAGAGGGACGTGATCTGACTTCCTTTAAATGGGGAGTCATCCTGGCTCATATGTTGAAGGACCTCAGGGAGAGAGACCAGCCAGGAGGCGCTCGCCATCAGCCAGGCTGGGGGTGACAGCCGACTGAGCCCACGTGGTAGCAGTGGAGGTGGTGAGAAGTGGAGTGTTCTGGATACGCCAGCGGGATTTGCAGAAGGACTGCATGTGGGGTGTGGAAGAACAGAAATCAAGGATAACTCCAAGGTTTTTGCCCCAAGCAGCTGGGAGGATACAGTGTAGCATTTACAGAGATGAGGAATGTTGGGGGAGAAGCCAGTTTGCAGTGGGAGGGTCAGCAATTCTTTTTCAGGCATGTCCACTTTGAGGTGCTTATTAGGTATTAGACGTACGTGGAGCAAGGTGGAGATCTGAATCTGAGATTCAAGGGCAGGGTTCAGGCTGGAGATAAAAACCGGGGCCTTGTTGGCATAAAGCCCTGCAAGTGGGCAAGACCAGGTAGGAGGTGGGTGTTGGAGGAGAGGACCCAGGACTGAGCTCTGGGGTGCCCCCGTGTTGAGATGTCAGGGAGAGAAGGAAGAGCAAGCCCAGGGGACAGAAGAGTGGCCCGTTAGGCGGAGTAGGACCCAGAGTGGGCCGTCAGCAGCCGAGGGAGGGAAGGGGGCTCAGCTGCACCCAGTGATGCTGATGAGTCAGGCCAGATGGGGACCGAGGATTAGCCTGTGGATTTGGTGACAAGGAGGGCATGGGGCTTCCCTTCCAGTGGAAGGAGGGGACAGAAGCCTGACTGGAGCAGATTCAAGATGGAATGGGAGCCGGGGCGCTAGAGACAGTTTTGACACCTCCTCAGGGGGTTCTCTGTAAAGGGGGACGGAGGAACAGGGTGGTAATTAGAGATGTGAGTGCCATCAAGAAAGCTATTTTTAAAGATGGCAGAAATAACAGCATGTTTGTATGCTGGCGGGAATGATCCAGGAGGGAAGGGAGAAAGCAGTGACACGGGAGAGGGAGGGTTGTTGGAGGGATGTTCTTGTCCTTGAGTAGGCGGGGGTGGGGGGGGGGCGTCCCCTGTGCAAACAGAGGAGTTGGCCTCGTCCCTGGTGACAAGGGGGAGGTGAGACTGTGGGTACCGATGCCAGAGTGAGGAGTCTGTGGAGGTTATCTTTTGAGTGCTTTTTTTGGCTCAGTAAAATTCAGGAACAAGGTCAATAGTAGATGGTGAGGATAGGACTCAAAAACTGTTCTGGTGGCAGTCAGTGTCCACACCTGCCGCAGGGCCTCAGGAGGTGGAGGGGTGACCCACCATCTGAAGTGCCTCTTTCTGCCCCCAGGACTGTCCAACCCATTCCGGGGCCTCATGAAGCTGGGCACCGTGGAGCGGCGGGGGGCCATGGGCATTTGGAAGGAACTTTTCTGTGAGCTCTCGCCTCTGGAGTTCCGCCTCTACCTGAACACCGAGGAGCGCACCTGCGTGGAGACCTGCTCGCTACTGCGCTGCGAATCTGTGGGGCCGGCGCACAGCGATGGCCGCTTTGAGCTGGTCTTCTCCGGCAGGAAGCTGGCCCTGCGGGCCTCCTCCCAGGACGAAGCCGAGGACTGGCTGGACCGCGTGCGGGAGGCCCTGCAGAAGTGCCGGCCACAGCAGGAGGATGAGTGGGTGAACATCCAGTACCCCGAACAGCCTGACGACCCCCCGGATGCCCCTCAGGGTGGCCTCCCCTCCCACCCAGACCTGCTCCCCGAGCCTGACACCCTCCAGGGCACACAGTTCTGCTGGTCCTCTGCCCAAGTTCCCGAGCCAGATGCTATTAAAGAATCCCTTCTGTACCTGTACACGGATGGGACCTGGATGCCCTATATTTTTTCCCTCTCCTTGGAGTCTCTGAAATGCTTCCGAGTGAGAAACAATGAGAAGATGTTAAGTGACAGCCATGGAATTGAGACCATCCGAGACATCCTGCCAGACACAAGCCTCGGGGGCCCCTCCTTCTTCAAAATCATCACGGCCAAGGCCGTCCTGAAGCTGCAGGCCGGGAGCGCCGAGGAAGCCGCCCTGTGGAGGGATCTGGTGCGCAAGGTCCTGGCGTCCTACTTGGAGATGGCCGAGGAGGCCGTGACCCTGGGCGGGAGTCTGGACGAAAACTGTCAGGAGGTGCTGAAGTTCGCCACGCGGGAGAACGGCTTCCTACTGCAGTACCTGGTGGCCATCCCCACGGAGAAAGGCCTGGACTCCCAGGGCTGCTTCTGTGCAGGTGCCCACCCACTGTCCCACCACCCCCAGCATGCCCGCCTCCCTCTGCTTCCGATGGGGTTCTGGACGTAGGCTCTCTGCCCTTGCCTGGCTCTCCGCACATGCCCCCGCACCACCCCTGCGATGTGGCAGCACACAGCTCCTGCTTCTCCCCAGCACCCACGGAGGCCAGCACCCCTGCCGAGGGTCGGCACCTGTGGGTGGCAGCTCTGCTAGGTGCTCTGCTGTCTGCTCGGAGTTCAATCCAGGGAGCTCTGTTCTCCACCCCCTCCGTTATCACATTACCATATTGCGCCATCCTTTTGGAGCAGGGGCATGGCACCCTCCCAAAGATTTCTGCATGCTCTTGCAAGTGCACAGTCTTTTTCAGTTACAAAAATGGGCTTGTACGGCTCAGGGCTGTGCAGAACTTTCTCTGATGATGAAAATGTTCTAGATCTCTGCTGTCCAGTCTGGTAACTCCAAGCCACATGGGGCTCCCGAGTACTCCCGACGGAGCTAGTGTGACTGAAGGGACTGACTTTTCGATCTAACCCACAGGTACTTAAATTGGCCCGCGGCTCGCGGCCGCGGTTTGAGACCCAGCATGGTGGTACCCATACTGTTCTACAACCTGGGGTTTCCTACTTAAGAATGTGTTGTGGATATTATTCCGAGTTAGTACACCTGCTCTATCATTACTGTCATCAAATCTGATTCTCCTGCGGGAGGCACTGGGCCAGCTGCTTTTTGCGGATTATTTCATTTATTCCTCACAGTACCTATCCCAAGCTGGAGCCAGATGAGGACCTTGACGGTCCTAGAAACTTGCTCCAGCCAGGTCCCCATAGGCCCTCTCCACTCCCTTGCTGTTCAAGGCCATGAGATATTCCACGGCTCACGTTCCATTGTCAGCTCTTCTCCCCGATCCAGACACCCATTTCCAACCCCATGGGTGCTCCGGGCGAACCGGGAGAACTTTGCCCTGCTGCAGAGCGCCACAGCAGGAGACCTGGCAGCAAATGGCTTGAAGGCCGTCCTGTCAGCTGGAGCCTGTGGGACTAGAGGGGAAAGTCCGCTTCGGGCATCTGGAAGGAAGTGGTCTGTGGTTTTCTTCCTGCAGAAAACATGTTCAGGTCCCTGCTCACCCCCTCCCTCTGCCAATGCCCAACACTCACGCTTTACACCTCCAGCCTGTGGGTGTTGGGCTCAGGGAGGAGGCCAGGCCCCCAAGGCCTGTGAGGAGGGTCCCCCAGTGGGTGTAAGTGCTGGCCGGGGGAGCTCTCTCCGCGCCTGTCACCTGCCAGCCCGTGGGCCGAGACTGAATCTGGGGAGCTTGGGCTTCCTTCCTGCCGCAAGCACAGCTCTGTGACCAGGCTCCTACCCACCGCTGACATTTGGCTGTATTCATAGTGTGCAGGGCACTTTCAAAATTTTCTCTCGTTTAAACTTTGTAATCACCCCGCAGAAGAGCAAGTAACAGCTGAATTTTATAGACACCGCAGTGGACCCTTGCAGAAATTCAGTGACGGTTAAGATGAGGCAGCTAGGAAGCAGAAGAGCCAGTCCTTCTAGTCCCAAGGCCAGAGGGACCCTTTCCCCCTGGCCCCATGGGAGGCAGGCCTTTGCTTTGCCTACCCCACTCCACTTCTCACTGCCCGCCGCTGCGGAGGGACCTCCTGCAGAGGGGCTAAAGCTGGACACTGCCCTGCTGTCCCGAGGTATCGGGCATCTCTGACTCCGAGCTGGCACCAGGCGATGTCCAGATGCCCCTGCCTCCGGCTGGCTTCCCCACTCACTCCCTGTGGCCTGCCCCAGGTCCCCACCTCCTACCCTGCTTACCGTGGCCCAGACTTGGTCGCTTCCATTTCTGGGCCCCAGTAGAGGGGGTAGACCTACAGGAGGTTGGCATGGGTGAGTAAGCAGTGGGAACATTGAACAGGCAGCTAGGTAGAAGAGGATGTGGGCTCTAGCACAACCCAGCCCCAGTCCAGTGCCCAGCTGTGCCGCGTCATCGTCCTGTGACTGGGCAGGTCTCACCTCTCTCTGCACCGATTTCTTCAGCTGTAAAATGGCAACAACAATTGTTAACAGGGTTCTGTTGTAAACACTCATGAATGGGGTTGTTTCTGAGCGGTGTGCATATGAGTGAGGGTTGTTTTATCTTTCTATCCTTTTTAATCTATCCCTTCCTTAAAGAGCAGGTCCTTCTGCTTAGTAACTTCTGCATTGATCTCAGACTCTGGCCTCACCACCGCTCACTCTCCCGCCGTCCTTCTCCCCAGGCTGCTCCCGACAGATTGGCTTCTCGTTTGTACGACCCAAGCTTTGTGCCTTCTCTGGCCTCTATTACTGTGACATCTGCCACCAAGATGATGCCTCGGTGATTCCGGCCAGGATCATCCACAACTGGGACCTCACCAAGCGCCCGGTAAGCCTTGAGCCCAGCCTGTCGGTGGCCACACAGGGCTGCTGAGTGACAGAGGAATGGTCGCTCTTCTTTGCATGGAGGAGTTTGGCTCTAGGGAAGCCCGGGTCACTGGTTCAGGCCCCATGATGCGGGGGAGCTGACCAAGAAAAAAAACATGGTGCTGGTATATAGTCCCTGGGCAGAGCTCTGTCAGTGCCTGCCTTAGTCCTCATCTGGAGGTCTGAGGATGGTTCTCTGCAGCTCCCCATGGCTACAGACTAAACTGTGTAGGGCACCAGCAACCAGATAGGTAGGTAGGTAGGTAGGTAGGTAGGTAGGTAGAAAGAAAGATAGATAAATAGGGATAGGTGGATAAGGAAGGATAATTAGGCTAGATTAGATACATAGATGGATGTAGCTAGGTGGATGGATAGATGGGTGGATAGATGGGTGGGTGAGTAGGTAGATGGGTGGGTGGATGGTTGATGGATGGGTAGGTGGGTGGGTGGATGGTTGATGGATGTGTAGGTGGGTGGGTAGATGGGTGGGTGGATGGTTGATGGATGGGTAGGTGGGTGGGTGGATGGTTGATGGATGTGTAGTTGGGTGGGTAGATGGGTGGGTGGATGGTTGATGGATGGGTAGGTGGGTGGGTGGATGGATGGGCCGGCCAACCAGCTGTACTTCTCCCTGGAGCTTCAGCCTTCTCTGTGGATCTGTTTACATACATTTGTAAAGTTGGGATCATACTGGACTCATACTTCTTTATAACCTGCTTTGTCCACTGAGTATCACTTAGTCTTGGGTACTTTTTTAAGTTCACCTAATGCCTTTGAATTAGATGTATTCCAAGATCTTTCACATTTCCTCTTCTCCACCTGAGCTTACCCACTCATCTAGCTATGTTACCATTAGCCAATTATTTGACTTCAGTTTCCTTGTCTATAAATAGGGATTAATAAGTGTGTGCCTCAGGACTGTGTAAGGACTAACAGGGACAGGGCCCGCCATGTCTTAGAGCCCTACATTAGTGCCCTTTCTTTCTCCTGAGGCCTGCCACCCTTCAGCCCCTCATTCACTTGGTCAGGGCCTGCCTCGAGGAGCACAAACTTGGCTTTACCCCAGAGGCACAGATTTCTGCGTAAGACAGACACAAAAGCACAAAGAAGAAGTTATTACTTCTCTCAAGACCCGGGCCTGCTGGCCATGGATGTGTCATCAGAGCCCAGGGAACGTGACTCTCAGATTCTGTGCCGCTCCAGCCTCCCCCTTGCTGGGGACCGGAACCCCAAGGACGTTAGCTTCACTTTGGCTTTTTGGTCGGTTACCTTGTCCCCACTCCTGCCCCCAGGGGTAAGTATTTAACTAACTACATGTAGAATATTAAACCTCAGAACCACCACAAATGCAAATAATTCTTTGGCCATAAAACACACTATTTACAACATCCGGACACTTGTTAAGCCATCTTCTTATTCATTGCTGTAATCCTTGTGCCACTTCCTTTTCCCCAACTAGAAAATGACAGTACTTTTCTTGGCATATCTGAGATCAGGAAATATCCAGCTCTCAGTCTCTCAGAGATCCCTGGCCTGGGAAAGGCAGAAACACTCAAAATAGAAAGTGGCTGGCTCGTGGGTTAGGGGCCTTACTGTTCACTGTTACCGCTGGCTGCCACTAGGCAGGATGTCAGCCCGGGCCTGGGGTTTCTGCCTTGCCTGTCTCCTGCAAGCCCACAGGCCAGGAACAGTCCTGGGGGAACAGGAGGCTCCTGCCTGTCCGCGCACTTGGCAGTTTTCAGCGCGCATTCCTGTGTGTGGTTTCATCTGAGCCTCACCCAAGGCCTGAAGCCGAGTCATGGAAAGGGCTGGGCCGGGGATAGAGACGAGCCATCTGAACAGAGCCCCTAGGCCTTTGTTGTTTGGGAGCCCACCGGCCGGAGGGCTGGTATTTCGGGCCTCTGGGAAATGGGAAAAGGAATTGTCCATTGTTGGGGGAAGCAAGAGATGGTGGTGGAGCTGGATGACCGGAGGCCAGAGGCTCCCAAGCCCCCAGTGTGACCATCTTCTGAGGGCCCTGTTCCATCCCCCATGCTTAAGGGACAGCGGGGTTGCACGGGCACTCAGAGACTGAAGGCAGCTCCCATTCCTGAGGATATGCTACTTTTTTTTTTTTAATCTAAACTCAAAATAATCCCATAAGGGAGGTGCTTTTATTTTCCCCATTTTACAGACAAGGAAACTGAGTCACAGGTTAAATAAGTGTCACAAGGTCACACTGCTAGGAAGTGGCAGAGCCAAGATTCAAATTCAATTCTGACTTGGAAGCCCGACTCCTAACCACTGTACCATAGCTGATGGTGAAGAATGTCTCAGCTCCTCCACCCTTCTTGTCACAGCGAGGAGAAGACTGAAGCGGGGGGAGGCTTCTCATTAGTTAGTGAGGCAGCCAAGTGTGCAGAGACCACACCTCAGTTTAGACCTGGGCTCCACTTTCTGCAGGTAGATGAGATAAGCCACTTTAGCTTCTGTGAGCCTCAGTTTCTTCATCTATAAAATGGGGATGTTGGCCCCTTCCCCATTGGCTTGTCATAAGCATGAGGAAAGGATGTGGCTGAGATCCTCAGCCCACTGTCTGGCACATAGTAGGTGCTCAGTAAGCTTTGGCATGAGGGTCAGGGCTGAGGGAGGAACCTGCAGCCCCCTCTGAGGTGGGAGAGACTGGGGTTGAACGCTCACCTCCACACAGGGACTTGGGGGAGCCCTGGTTGGTGCTGCTGGCAAGAGCTGGGGGGCTTGGGAAACCTCGTTAAGCTGTGTCTGATCTGTGGCTTCCTGTGGCTGGAGCCTGACTCAGACAGTCACCTGGTTCCTGAGTCGGCCCCGGGCCAATGCCTGTTTCCGTTAGGCAGGAAAATGGGGGCTGGGAGGACAGGAAACAGTGGGAAGGGTCTGTGGGCCCAGGGGGAGAGGGGCCGCAGCTGATGCCATGGAGGGGGAGTGGGTTTGGGCATTAGGTTACCTGGGTTCAGATCTTGACTTTTATGAGCTATGGACCTAGGCCAGGTCACCTCACCCCTGAGCCTCAGTTCCCTCATCTATAAGATGAGGATGGTACCCTTGGACGGGGGTGGCCGGGGAGTGAGTAGGTAAGACCGTGTCTGTCCCATTGGCGCTCACCAAATGGTCATCTCTGTCCCGACCCCACTATCTGGTGGCATTCCAGATCTGCCGGCAGGCCCTGAAGTTCCTGACGCAGATCCGGGCCCAGCCCCTCATCAACCTGCAGCTGGTGAACGCCTCGCTGTACGAGCACGTGGAGCAGATGCACCTCATCCGGAGATGCCGGGAACAGCTGAAGCTTCTGGGGGATTACCTGGGCCTGTGCCGAAGTGGGGCCCTGAAGGAGCTGAGCAAGAGGTGAGCATCTTGGACACACACCGACACACATCAACACACATACAGCCAGCACCCGCACAAGATGCCCTCTTGGGAGAAATGCCAGAGCTGGGCAGAAATCAGCTTCCCACTAGGTTTGGGAAATGACCACATGCTTTGAGAGTGGCTTTTATTTGTTCATGTATTCATTCATTCAACAAATATTTACTGAGAACATTCTAAGTGCCCAGGTTTGTGGGCCACAGAAGTGGGCCAGTTAAGAGGATTGGAGGAGGGCAGAGCAGGGAAGACTTCCTGAAGGAACGGACAAATAAGGTGAGACCTGAAGAATGAGTAGGAGTTTAGAAAGGAGAAGAGATTCAGGAGAGAGTGATCCAGACAGAAGGAAGAGTGTGCACAGGCCATGAATGAAGTCCCATACATGGAAAGAACAGAGAGAAGTCGGGGGTGGGGGAGAGGAGGCTGGGAGGCAACGGCCATGTTGCCCTGGCCCCTCCCTACCCAGTCCTCCCTGCATGGCTGCTTTGCTGCTGTCCAGCACAGCATCCCTCGCAAAATCCTCAGAAGAGGGCAAGATTAGGGTGGGACCCTCAGGATGCCCTTGGAGAAGCTTCTCGGCCCCCAGAGCCTGGGGGCCTGCTCAGGGTTGGGAGGCGATGTTGTGCTACAGCATGGACTTGGGGTCCTTCTGGGCCCGTCGTAAGTGCCTCCTCGCCCAGACTACGGTCTCGGGGTTGGGCTCTCCTCAGGCCCTCAGGATGGCAGACCCCAGGTGGGGGAGCTGGTGCCTACTGTCCAGTGGGGCTTTGGGGCTGGGTGTCTGGGGCCTTGGGGCAGCTCAGCAGCCCCTCCACATTCGCCCCTGCCCCCAGCCTCTTCTCCACACAGGCCTGGCACAGAGACCAGCCCTCTGATGGGCTGTAGCTCTAGGCTCCTGGCTCGTGTTCTCCGGGGGTTGTTCCTGCATGGCTGTGTGGGGCCCAGGCAGTGCCCAGTACAGGCCCCCCGGGACTCTCAAGGAAGGGGCTGCTGCAGGGAGCTCTCTCTGAGGCATAGGGGAGAAGCTGGCTCCTCACAGGCTCCCAGAGCAGCCAGCTGGGCCCTGGTCTGCACAGGGCCTGAAAGGACGGAAAGCCCTCTGGCGGCCGCCATGAGGGACCCTCTCAGGCTGCTTCCCGGGAAGGCCCTGCCTGTTGTGATCATCAGCTGGGTGCCTGGGTCTTCCCTCACTGCCCTCCTTTCTGAGATTCTAGGACACGGGGCTCCAGAGAGTCTGTCCTCCAGCCCCCCTGACCAGGGTGGTGAGACCTCACTGTCATCACATTCCAGTCAAGGGGATCTTTTGCACACCTGAGCAGGCCAGGTACCTGCAGGGTGGGTCCTGGGTGCTGGCCTCGCTTCCCTGGCCCCGCCCTGCTTAGATTGTTTGGTCTTCGGCCTTACTGACCTGTCTGGGCTGACCTGCGGGACAGCCCTGCCTCATTCTCCCTGACCCTGCAGTCCCCATCCTTGGGTAGCAGCACTGCATACCTACTGTGCAACCTACCAGCCTTTGAGAGAGCAAGGCTAGGCCAGTGGAGGTCCCATTTGGAATTAACATGGGGCAAGTGAAAGAGATCAGGAGCAGCCTCTGCCCGACCTCAGATTTGCTGTGTGACTCAGAGAGGTTGGCTCACTTACCTGAGCCTCAGCTTTCTTGTCTATAAAATGGGCCAGTAATCCCTGTGCTCATGCGGCCTTCCAGAGTTGTAAGAGCCCCATGAGGGGCTCAGAGTCTGGGGAAGGACACAGACAGACAGACAGATGGCCCTGGGTCAGCATGACTCGTGCCGTGAGGGAAAGCATCTGACCCAGCCTCATCAGGGCTGGAGGGCCAAGAAAGCTCCCAGAGGAGATGGTGTCTGAGCTGAGGGTTTGCAGCGTTTTCTTTAATTCTTCTCTTTTCTTTGAAAAAAAAAAAATGTGTTTCTTCTTTACAAAGATAGTTAGTGTTCAAACAGTGTAAAAGAATCAGGCAGGAAGTTCTGATCACCCCTCCTCCAATCCCACCACCATCAGTACTGTTAGAGCATGCTTCCAGAGCTCTGTCCTTACCCATGTACATAGTGAACTGGGATTTTGCAGAAGAACCAGGAGAAGAAAGGGTAAGGGAGGCCCCAGCTTTCCTGGCTCAAGGGGACCGGTGATGTGGAAGGGGACGGGAGTTTGGCTCACCAGGACCCTTGAGGGGTCCGGTGCAGCTGGATCGTGGGTGCGGGTGCCAGACCTCGAAGGTCCTAGGTACCACACTAAAGGTGTTTGGATTTATCCTGCCAACAGTGGGGAGCCCTTTGAAGGGTTTTGAGCATGGGACTGTCAACGTTCTCCAGAGTTTAAAAAAGGCCAGTTTAGGGGGTGCCCTCCTGGCTCAGTTGGTAGAGCATGCAACTCTTGATCTCGGGGTTGTGAGTTCAAGTTCCACATTGGGTGTAGAGATTACTTAAAATATTTTTTTTAAAAAAAGTAAGCAAGTAAGAAAATGAAAAGGCCAGTTTGGCAGCAGTGGGGCATGGGGGCTGGTGTAGTAATTAGCCCAGGGAAGTGAGGAGGCCTGGCCTGAGTTGGCCAGGGTGGAGGCTGAGGACCAAAATGATTGAGTGTGAGTGGTGAAGTCAGGGAGGAGTTCCCCTTTCCTAGTGGCAGCCCTCTGGCTGGGCCCTCTGAGAGAAAGGGGATCATTGGACAGGCCTGGACATGTCTCCAGGGGCCAGAGAAGCCCCAGAGCACCCTCTCGGCCCTTGGGAAGGAGCCATTCTAGGAACACCCTGGAGGGGTGGCTAGAGGAGGCACCTGAGTTCAAAGGCATCACACAGCCTGGGCCTGGAATGCAGATCTGCCAGCCCTGCCAGCACCCTTTCCCACCCCATCACTGGCTGCAGGAGTGAAGGGGCAACCTCCCCTGTCTTCCACTCTCTTCCAGAGTGCCCGACAGATCTCTCGGGCCCCTTCCCCCTGGCAGTCAGCCTCACACCGAGGAGGACAGAGAGGGGTCTCCTGATTGCAGGGTGGAGAACAGAGTCTCGGAGCCCTGGGGTGTGGATCTCTCCCCTGACGGCAGGATGAGAAGTGGCGTCTTGCCCCGGGGCCCCTGCTCTGTCCCCTCCAGCTTGGCCTGAGTCCTGTGGAGAAAGCACCTGCAAGGCCTCACTGAGCGTGTGACAGGCCCAAGGGACAGTGGCTCACAGGGAGGGTCTTGGCCTGGCTGCTCCCCAGGGCTTCCATGACTGTGGGCAGAGAGCAGATGACAGAAATGACTCTCCATCCAGATCAGCCCCACCCTTCCTGCCTGTTCAGGGACAGCGTGTGCGCCCCCCACCCCCCGTGTTTTCCTGGTGATAAATGGCGGCTTCCCGTTCCCAGAAAGCTGGAAGTTTACCGGGGAAACTAGCATGGTGACCCGAGCAGCCGGTCAGCAGTGTCCTCAGCCCTCGTGGCACAGTGTGGCCTGCCGGGCTGCTTGGTGGAGCTGGTCCTCTCCACCCCGGGTTGGGTTCCCCAAGACCATGACGGAGGCCCATTCCGGATGCCCCAGGGCCTCCTCAGGCATTCTCCCCAACCCCAGTTACCCACGCAGGCACACACAGCAAGGCCAGGCAGGTGTTGTCACAGGGTGTTTACTCTCCTTCCCTCAGGATGGAACCCCTCGGATCGCTGCCCTTGCCGAGGTGGAAAGTAGAGCCACCCTCGGCCCCCGTCTGCCCCATGCCCCCCGCCCTCTGTGAAACGGGATCTGGTGTACTTGGGCCACGTCTCCATGCCTCTCGCGTAGCACCGACACTGGATGCTTGACTGTCCCTCAGCTAGCCCAGGGGTGACAGGAGGGCAGAGGCCACTTCCTATGCATTTCTGTCCCCAAGCGCTGTCCCTGGTATGTAACAGTGGCAGGAATGACAACAGTTAACACCTCCAGGTGTTACTGGGTGGGTAAGGGTAAGGGCTCCGGAGCCAGACCCCTGCGTTCAAACTCCAGCTCTACCACTCATTAGCTGTGTGACCGCGGGCAGGTTATTTAACCTCTCTGGGCCTCTGTTCCGTCTTCTTCTCAAAGTGGGGCTTATAAGGGTACTGAGCTCACGGGACCGTGGAATGAGTTAATGGGTAAAGCTCTGAGCCCAGTTCTCCATACAAATGTTAGCTTTGGTCATCCGCCTCCTCGCTGGTATTTTTTTATAGACATTTTATTTTTTATACCTTTAAATTTGTTTGCAATTTTTTCAGCCTTATTGACGTATAACTGACAAAATTGTGAGGTGTTTTTTTTTTTTAAAGATTTTATTTATTTATTTGAGAGAGAGAGAATGAGAGAGAGCACGAGAGGGAAGAGGGTCAGAGGGAGAAGCAGACTCCCTGCTGAGCAGGGAGCCCGATGCGGGACTCGATCCCGGGACTCC